TGTGCTAAGAAAACAAATTGTCTAGTTGGTGCCTGCTGGTACAGTTTGATAGCGAAGCATGTTCCTGTAAACACAATTTACTTGAAAACCACTTAAAAATCTTGTCTTGCATTTGAACTCAAATAGCTGTCATTGCTTCCTGCTATATATTAAGGCAAATAAAGAGAACACTGGAGGCTACATGTTTATCTTCGTGCTGGTAGGAATCTGAATTTAAGGCTCTTGGACGATATGACGCTGAATTCTTAGCTCATGAGTATTGTTGTATCATAAATCTTTCTATATTTTTACTTTGTTAATGTCATGTTGACACTTGTTTGTTCTGTAGATTGTCTTTGATTATTAATGTACAAGTTTCACTTCCAGCTTAGAACATAAATCCTGTTTAGTTAGTAAGGTATTGTAAAAGATGCTTCAACTTCTGTAACTGTAGTCAAGTTAGAAGAATGTGTTGTAGTGAAGCCTAATATTAGGTAAGAAGCAGTATGTGGCTTCCTGCCACAAAATCAGAAGACTCAGTAAAAGATTTAAGATACTAAATAATATGTGTTCTGATTTGTAGAAGTGCTACAGAAAATTTGAATTTTGTACACAGTTGTGTGTACGTAGAAACAGTTAAGGGCAAAAGGGGACTGATGCTGTATACCAAGATTTGGAGAGCAAATAACTTCCCAAATTCAGGGTTTTAACGGTGCCTCTGCAGTAAATGCATAAATTGTATAGAAGCTTTTTGGATTTTTTGTGTAAATACTGAATTATCTGTAGGGGGTTTCTTAATTTGGGTATTGGAGAAATTTCCTGTAGTAGCTTACTGAAATTTGTATTCCCATGAAAATTTTTTGTTCTGTCTTTTTAGGATGCAGATAAGAACATCATTAAATTACTGAAAGAGAAAGGCAGACTGGTTCACAGCAGTAGTTTTAAGCACAGCTATCCTTTCTGCTGGAGGTAAGGAGAGAAGTGCATATGGCTTTAAGATTGAGGGTTCTAACTGAGTAGTTCTTCAGGTTTGTCTCATTTTTCCCCTCCCTTGACCTGCTTAATTTTTTTTTAAACAAGACTAGAAGTAACAGGAATCAAGAATATTGAATTAGGAGAACTCCAATTTTGGTTTAGTAATCAAGTAAATTAAATTTTTTTGCCATAAATTTGATGAATTTAAGTGTAGTGGGGAAATTTTTTTCTATTATAATTTTATAGGTGTGTTTTTATAGTTGGTACTTATTCTTCAGTGTTTCTTGTAGTACTGCTAAGTACCTTTTGAAGATGGTTATAATAAGTCTAGAAAAGCTTATTTTTTAAATAGCTGAGTACTGAGTGGTGGAAAAGGATATTTTGGTACACTTTGAATTGTATCCAAGTAAGTATATTGCAGAATATCCTTAAAAGTTTGTGTTCAAACTTTCCATGTGCTGGATAAAATGGCTATATTATAGTTGTTATCTTAGTTACTTCTTTTTAACCTTGTAAACTGACTTCTTTCTTTGGAATCTGGTACAGCCCAGTTGCTTACAATGTTGCTTAAAATCAGAGTTAGCATTTATCCACTGCAGTGGCTAGTAAGTGTAATACATGAATATGTTTTTCTGCTCAGTCATTCCTGAATGGAATTCACAAACAGTGGTTACATCTCTGATCAGAAACAACAGTTGACATGTTTATAATATCTGTGGGGACTTCTTAGAAATACTTGGTTTTGTCAACTAGAAATTCAAGATTAGCTCTGGAATGTCAGGTAGGTGGTTCAGCACAGCAGCCTGCCAAGAATTGGTCTTCTCAGGTTGGAAATCTTGCAGAGCTTGAAGGAGGACTCCATGTGCAAGTCTCCATGGGCCCTCAGTATAGTAACCTAACGTAAGACGTTTTGGCTGTGAGAAGTACAGGCTAGACAAATTTAATCTAGAATTTAAGCATGTTTTTATTAGTGTCCTTTCTGTTTTTAAACGCATACAATTGTTATAGCAAAATTGGGGGGGGGGGGAATAATCACAGAACAATGTCAAATTTAAAAAAAGACACTTGAGTAATCTTTTAGTAGCAATATTGTATTAAACTATTTTATTATAAGTAAAGACACACTTCAAAAAAAGAAAATATGTAATTACCTATCTGAAATGAGTTGAACATTTTAAGTCATATCTGATGCATGCTGCACCTGTACTGAAATAACTGTGATAAAAGCTTTTGTCTCCTTCTAGCTTTAATGCTACTAGGTGAAGTGTTTTAGCAGTGTGCATTTATCTTTGATCTGTAGCAAGAATAACCTTTCCTTGCTCTTGAATAGCATGATTGGTTTGTTTCTAACAGCTACCTAGAGGAAGAAGGGGAATTACCTTCAGGTGTTATGTCCTTGATGGTTTGGGACAATTTTTGAAAAATGGCAGCCTGAAAACAAGCAATGCTTGTGTTTTTTCTTATGTAGCAATTCAAATGTATGGTCATGGCCTTCTGAGACAAACCAGTAATGTAGAAGTTCTGATTCTGTAGAACATACTTAATCCCGCCACTCTGTTGACGTTTTTGTTGATTGATGATAAGTTGTGGGCAGCACCTAGCAGCAAATTACCTGGTGGGAAGAACAGAATAATGGATTCTACTTGAAAAGCTCATTTCACTGCCATCAGAAATGCCATAATTGGAATATGCTAAAAGTAGAAGAGTAGTTCGTAAATTTGAACATAGTTATAAGTTATTTCAATTAATGTAGGAAAACTTTGAAATCAGACTCTTGTACTCATGCGTTTCATGCGTTTCCCTGAAACCAGGCAGTTGTTGAATCCTGGTTGAGTTATTTTCCCTCTTTTTATATATCATCAAATTAGGGTCCTTCTCTACATTTTTTTGTTATTGTGTTCTGTAGTAATTTTCTGTCAACTGAACTTTAAAACCTGAGAGGGGAAAACAGTAACTACTTGGGAAGTATGCAATAGATAGTTTTCAGTTAGAATTCCCCTTCGTTGGAATTGCTGGAGACTGAAGTCATTGGTCAAAAATGCTCTGTGTAGGTGTGAGATCCTCAGAGCCTATGTTGTCTAGGTAGCAATTTAACAACTCTGAAAGATAGCAAAAGCAACTAGCAGCACAGACGAAGTGTCCATTGCAGCTACTACATGCCATTCTACTAGGAAGCAATACCTGGGAGCTCTACCGTTGACAGACACAGAGCTTTGTCTTTTTCAAGCCAATGAAAGCAAAGACAAGAAGTGTCTTTCATAGCACATGGTCAGTTATCTATCATTTGTTTCCTAAATTATGAGAAAATGGAGTGGGAATAAGATCACAGTAATTTGTTTACAACAGCTGTGCAGTCCAAAACAGGTATGAGAAAACTATTGGGAGTGTGTAGTGTCCGCAGAGAATGGTCTTTCCAATCTTGCTCTTTTTAAGTATAAATATTGTATTTCAGAGAATTTTGTGGCACTGCTAAGGAACAGACAATTTGCTCAGGTGCTTTGATTCCTCTGATACAATTCTAAAGGATGTATTTATAAGGGGAGTAAAACATTGTTCGGTTGAGATGGAGAGAAATGTCTAGGCAGGGATTTTGTAAGCACCAGTCTCTGATTTAGGTCTGTTTGGGTGATTTTTTTCCTTGTCTTGTATTGCTGGAAAACACAACCTAATAATGGGTGTTTCTCATTTGATACTACAGCAAAGAATCTAATCTGGTTCCCTCATCCCTCTCACCAGTCACAAGGGCCAGAAATGTGTAAGATGTTACTGGTTAGGCAGATTTTCAGTATGTTGTTCTGTTTTTGTCTCCTGCTGAGACACTGCTTGGCAATACAGCTAGAAGAAAGAAAATATTCAGGGGAAAAACTGTGCCATCTCCCATTTCTTACCACCTTCATGTAGGTGGTAACAGTGCTCTGTGAGTGCTTTGGAATGATTATCAAGTATTATAAAGTTACAGTGTTAGGTTGAAAGCCTGGGAAATGATCATGGCTTCATCTGCTTGTTTCTTTTTCATAGATCCTTTGTGTCTGAAGCTACTTTTGCACTCAAGCTTGTCTTCCAGCAGCCCCATCTGTCAGCTGCTTACTCCTGATAGAGGTTGGGTACCAGTTTATTGTCCCAGCATTCTTTTTGCAGTATGTTAAGGCTGCGTGAGAAACTGTTATTATCAGGTTTTATTCTTGTTTCCATAACTCAAGATCTTATGTGATGGCAATTCATTGTTCTTCAGCATACCTGAAGCAAGATGCCCATTGAAACTAAAATACTTCTGGAGTACCTTGTAGCTTGCAGAATACTTGCTCTTTTACTGTGGTCTTGCTGCCGTGTGAGGAGTTAACCGTTTACTTTTTTAGGTGTTAGGACTTGAATTTGAGAAGCAGAGCTTCCTAGCTTACCATGTTTGCATCTAATAGTTAGAATGCTACTACGTTATTGTTGCTTTGAGCTCTTAGCATTTCCTGTAAGGTCATGGATACTTTAACTCTTAAAAATTACAGATTGAAATGTATTGCTTGTAGTTAAAAGGAAATATCTTCTGAAATACAGTATTAAGAGAAGTGATATGCTTTTTATTATTGGGCTTTATGCAAAGTGAGTGCAGTTTTTCATGTCTGAACAAGCTTTGCTCTGGGTTTTCTTTTCTTTTGTTGGTCAGGCAGGTGAAACTTCAGGAAGTGCTTCCACACTAGCAATTTTAATTTGCATCATTATCTCCAGTGAATTTCAAACAAGTCCTTGCTATGGATATAAGTAAAATGAATTGAACTTTTAAGGTGGGTTGTTTACAGTAATGACTACATGTAGGAGATGATGGTAGTTTCTCAGGGTCTTTGCTTGTGAATTATTTTCAAGCAAGTGTATTTCCAAGTTCTGAGTCAGTGACTTAAAAGTAATATTTTAAAAATTCGTTTTGTGGGGTGGCTTGATACTAAGGGAGAATGAGCTTCTTGTCCCAGTATTGTTGAAGCTGCGCTGTACCCATAAGCAGATTCTATCCCCTAGGGCTCAGTCTCCCTTTCCAAGTTGGAATAATGGGATGGATGTGAAGGATTAGAAATGCCTGAACTCTCCTGTAATGACTCTTACCCACTGTTTAGTTACTGGATCCTTTAGAAGGATGCATGCTACTTGAACAATCTCTCAAGACCTTCAGCTGTTGTATTATGGAACTGACAAATAAGAGACCAGGTTGAGACACAATGCAGTCAGATGCCTAGGGATACCAATTTTGCTGGGTAATTTAGGGAATTTACCAGTCTGTATGCTCTGCTGTATAGTGTTCCCACTTCTAAGTGATCCCAAGTTCCAAATCTGCTCCCACCATAGGGGATTTGTATCACTTTCTTTGAATGTTGAAGTAAGGAATATATTAAGATACCTTTATAACTTATTACTTTTATGTGTTTATTTGGATCTCTTTGTTTCCTTCTCCGCATGGAATAGGACATTCTTCTAGTTAACCCTGGGTACTGTTACTTCATCTTTGATTTATTAGTTTTCTTTTAAATACAAATAGTAAAAATACAGCATAATGATTTCTGGCTTTTCAGATTGATGTACACAGAAAAAAGATACAGAATGAGCTAAAGTGGAAGACTTAAATATGACTCATTTTAATACTTAAGTTCATATTATTGTACTGTGTAGGAACATAAACTTCAAATTCAAGTATTGTTTGAACATTCTCATCATTTCTTTTGTGATACAAATTACTTGAATTGCTGGGTTTGAAGGCTTTTTACATTTTTTTTTTTTTAGGATTTGATTTTTAAAATAGTAGCTCACAAGTGTAACACTTTGTGTAATTTAAAAACCAAAACAAACCCCAACCTTTGTAACTGTGATAATATTTCAGCAATAACAACAAATTCAGTCTGTGGAAAAGGGACTGTTATGTACAAAAATACACTTTAAAGAGTGTTTTATAAATAACGTAGCACTGAAAATGTTTTTGTTTGCTTTGCTCCCTTCCCCATCACCTTCCCTCTATAGGTCAGATACTCCATTGATATACAAAGCTGTGCCAAGCTGGTTTGTAAGAGTGGAGCACATGGTGGAGAAGCTACTGGAGAATAATGCCCAATGCTACTGGTAATGTCTCCTGCATATATTTTTGGTTTCCTTTGCCTGGGGTTAGGTGTGTAGAGGTGTGTGTGTATGCTGGAACTCTACAAAGGTCTATTTCGCTGTTAGTGGGCTAACCTCATATTTCCATTCTGTGTCTGAGCCAATATTACTGGAATGGGGCTGGCAACCAGTTTTAAACAGTGTTTCTTCTCAGGTTTCACAAACGTCCCTCAAACTGGTAGAGCAATGTAATGGTCTTCCTGGTATAAACAGAGAGAACCTGCTTAATTGTGTATCAGCCCAGCGCTTGAACGTGTTTGTGTACTATGCCTTTCTTGTGTCAAGAAGGCATTCTTTGCTTGTCTAAAATCTCAATGAGAAACACATTTTAGGGTGTAAGTAAGGTTGAATAATAATTTACAGTGAAATACATAAACAGGATCATTAAAAGTATCCTCAAATCATCTTATACAATCCTGAGAAATTCAGCATGAGGAAAAACTGCAAAGGAAAATAAAGCTGTGGAAGCATGAAAGTGCACAGTTAAGCCTCCCAAAAGGGTCCACTAGAGAGAAGAATTTAGGCAGCTAAACTCCATGTTTTTATTGTTCCAGATTAAACTAACTTTTAGATAAGGTATTTTTTTCTTTTCATCCAGTTGTTACAGATAAGGTTGATACTTTGTCATAGGTGCATTTGAAGAAAGAAAACACCCCTTCCCCTCAAACTCATTTTCCCCCCACATCTGCAAAACACCCAACTCAACTGCCCTAGCTTGTGTAATAGCTGTAACCAACCTCAGTTTCAGAGGTTTACATTTTCTACTAGTGGCAAACATTAAATCTTTATATGTATAAAGGGAATATGAAAAATATTTGTGTGACATTTGTGTAGAAAACAACAGGTACATTTTAGATAATTTGCATGCACTATTAAATTAGCAGTAAGGGAACTATTGGCAGCAGTAGCCATTTTGAATCAACTGTGGGTCTGTGCTGTGTTACTAACAAAAGAACCCTATGATCTCCACCTCCATAACCTTTATGTTTTTTCTCTATTTCCCAGGCAAAAGTTATTTATTAGAGGAGGAGAGCAGGTGGGGAAAATGTGGATGTTACAGCCTCATTGAGTTGTGCTGTGTGCTGTTTCAGTTGTTCGGTCTTTCCTTATGAGGACTGTAGGAGAGCTGGGATTCCACCCTTGTGTATCTCTGCTCAGCAACTGAAATGGTGCTAAAGAAGGTGACTCAACTTTCAGTGAAAAATTACAGCTTTATCTGCGTTTTATCATGGACAGTAGCTAGCAATTAAATTCTTCATGAGCAGCTTTTGCATAACTGCTTATGTGGTACAAGCACTGTAAATATTGAAATATGTGGGAAAAGCTAGTGATCCGTGATACAGACTGTCCAAAAATGCTGCAGTGTTGGCTTGCTAATAAGCACATGCCCAGTCTGGATATGTAAGAAGATTTTATAGATTAGTAAGTGTTGCTTTCTGTTTTCCATAACAGAACATACTGTGATCCTTCTTTTGGGGGAAAAATAAGCTGGAGAGGGGGTGAAACTGTTTGTTCTTAGCTTTAATTAGCTTTCTCAAGATGCTTTTACTGTTTTGATGACTGACAGTAGACCTGCATACTTAATTTTCACATGAACATAAGAAAAATTTAAGGATCCTATTAAGGAAGTGTTTGAATGGTTGAGATTGTTTTGCTTTTCCAGAAACAAAGCTTCAAGAAGAAACTGATAAGTGACCTCTGCTTATCCAGGAGATATTAATAAGAATTAGTAAACAGTTTGAATCCTACCTCATATATATGTTTGGGTTTTAAGTGGTGCTTTCTGTAAGTGTGGAGTAGTGGGGATGCAAGTGGAACCAAATGTGGGAGCTGCTGTTGCAAAGGTTGGGTGGGAAGACCAGGCAATATTCATGCTTGGAATGTAAGTAACCGTTTGTCCTTTAGGCAATTTGTGAGTCTCAGCATAATTCTGTAATTGACCATAAAACTGGTGGCTCAAGATTCCTCTCAAAACAGTATGGTCTGAGAGATTTTGAGAATCTTTTTGTAGAGAATGTGACCGCAAGTAGAGCTGTATTATCAGTAAATGCTTAATAAAATAACATGTGTTTCTAGTATGTGATTTCATAATTGCTAGTTTGAATACTTGATGGCTTTTGTTACATAAAGATGGCTTTTAAAATCTAGCTTTTTAAAAGAAAAAGGCATTACTTTCAAGGTTTTCTTCTATGTTGTTCACTGATGTTAGTTTTGTTTGAAATGTAATTTCTTAAGTTGGTGTTTGGAATGCTAGCATTCTTCAATATTCATTTGCTGAAATTTTAGGAACTCCATCCTTCCCAAAACCTACTTTTTTTTTCTTTTGAAGAGACTTGATCTCTGAAAGTGTCACAGGAATAATACCTAGCTTTTTAAAAATTTATTTTTGGACTCTCTGGGGCTTCAGGATGTCCTGAAAATGAGAAAATTGGGGATAAATGCTTTTCAGACTGTATTAACCTTTGCAAAATGAGTTTGACTGCATTGCTTTTTTTTATTCCTATAAATGACTGATAGGTATTTTGTCCCTTAAGAATAGCTGCACTCTTTGTAGATATCCTTTTTGATGAAATAGATTAAACAGTTGGACAAACTTTTGCAACTTGATTGCATTTCTAATTAGCTTTTTAATGAATTAGTCTACTGATAAAGCCATAGTTACTCAAAAGTTAAAGCCTGCAACTGTGCCTTCGTTTTTTCAAAATGAACTTAACTATAGTTTTCAAGAATGATTACATGAGTAACATGCCAGCATTTTTGTAAAATCAGAAGCAAAAAAACCCCTCTATTCTTTCTCCCAACCTTATTCTGATCAGAGTGGGAAGTAACTTATGCTGGATATTGCTGAAAATGCAGAATCAGAACAGTATTTAAGAGACTGTGTTTCAGTCTTTAATCCAAGGTCTGTTACTGAACGTTCTATTTACCACACAAGCGGTAGAAGAGATTATTTCTAGAAAAATTTAAATTAAAAAAGAAAGAGGGGTATTCATATTCAGGCAAGCTACTACTGTGGTACTTGAGATAGAGGGGCAAATTTGGCTGCTGTGCCATTCAGGACTGTCAGAACTTGGTTTCCTGTTGCATCTGTATGGAGAGTTAGGTGCAGCACCGAAGTTGGGTCCTGGTGTAAGTGGTTTGGAATTCAGCTTTAATTGTTTGTTGTAACTATTGTCTTACAGAAGGAGCATTTCCTACGTAACCACAGACAAGCAGCTAAATGATGCCACCTTAGATTCCATTGTATAATATAGGGCTAATTCCTATCATCAGAGTTCAAAGTTGGTATAAATTACAAATTTATAAGTTATTTTAAAGAGTAAATTAGTGCTATTTATACTCATGTTTCTAAACTGTTGTAGCTCACGCTTCTGGCAGCGTATGTAATATTTTTATACTTGCAGGTTGATAGAAAAGGTTCTATAGTCTGTGTAGTTTGTATTTAAATATCAGCTTTGAACTCTTTATTTTATTTTTATTTTTTGAAAAACCTCCCTCACTTAAAGTTCTACTTCAGTAACTCCTGAAATACTTACCTCAGCTGTCAACAAGTTGCTTGTGTTAGACACACAGTTATGTTGTGTTAGCACAGTTCTGACACTGTTTACGTAAGAAAGTACAGCACTTAATATAGTGGAAAAATGAGCATCAGTGGAAGGAAAGCAGCAGCAGAAGACAGTAACGGACTTCAAAGAAGCCAAGCCTTTTGTTCTTGCATCTTCTTGGCATTACAAAATTCAAGCATTGTGATAAAGAGCTTGATGTATAGGTCCTTAGTTGAAGGTATCTTTTTTTTTTTTGACTTTCATCACTTAAACTGTTAGTTCTTATTGAAAATGCCTCACAGAACACATCCAATAGGCCTGTTTGCTAGAAGTGAATTTCCTGGTTTACAGAGTGTGAATTTTGCACACATTTCCTGCTGTTCCTGTATGAGCAGTCTTAAGACCAAGCATTTTCACATGCGTCAGTCAAACATTAATCTTTTGAGAAGCTTTTGATCTTGGTCTTTCTAATCATAGAATGTTTTGGGTTGGAAGGGACCCCTAGAGGTCATCTAGTCCAAGCTGAGAGCCCTGTCCAACCTGGTCTTGAATGTTTCCAGGGATGGGGCCTCCACTACCTCTCTGGGCAACCTGTTCCAGTGTTTCACCACCCTCGTTGTAAAGAATTTCTTCCTTATATCTAGTCTAAACCTACCCTGTTTTAGTTTAAAACCATTACCCCTTGTCTTGTCACAGCTGTCCCTACTAAAAAGATTTTCCCCATCTTTCCTATAGGCCCCCTTTAGGTATTGAAAGGCTGCAATCAGGTCTCCCCACAGCCTTCTCTTCTCCAGGCTGAACAAGCCCAACTCTCTCAGCCTGTCCTCATAGGAGAGGTGCTCCAGCTCCTCGGATCACTTTTGTAGCCCCAATCTTCGAACGGCAAACTGTCTCCCACTTCTGAAAGGTGTGATTTGATCACAAATTGTGCTTGTCTTGTATCATAAACCCTAAGGCTGACAGGGTGTGCAGAAGATGGGCTGTAGAGCCCACCTACAATAGAAAGCTGACATTTGTTCTACTAAACTTGTAATTTTTGTGCAGATGAGGAATTTCTGTCTGAAGCAGGGGATACACTCTTTGTGAATTGTAAGTCACAACAGAATTTTAGCATAATGGAGGAAAATAATTGACTGAGCCCCTAGTTTTCTTCCTTTTACTTTTTTTTTTAGGATGCCTCAGGGTATTTTCTTTCCTAGCTTGTTAGCATTAATAAATAAATTTTATCTGAGCAGTTTTAAATGCATCGGGGGGGGGGGGGGATGGGATGGGATTTTTTTTTTCTCTCTTTTGTTTTTTCTTTAAAATGACCATGCATTTGTAACTTTCTGAATCATCGATCACACTTTTCTTATTCAGGAAATGTGAATACAAATTAGGTCTTGTCTGTAGTAGTGGTTGCAAAGTGTATGGCAAGGT